CCATTTCTTCTTAATATCTTCTGCTTCTGTTAGGTCCATACCATTTCTGTCCTTTATTGAGCCCATCTTTGCATGAAATGTTCCCTTGGTATCTCTAATTTTCTTGAAGAGATTTATTATCTTTCCCATTCTATTGTTTTTATCTATTCCTTTGCATCCCTGTCCATTATCAGACCAAAAATGGCTTCCTAAAATATATGTTAATTGCATCTTATAGGCTGTGTATCTATAGGCTGTAAATATGGACTTTCAAAAATGTCGTTGCTTTACCAGTAGCCAAAACTAGCAAAATTAGGAGTAATATTATTATTGTCCATTTGTTAAATGTAAACTAAAATTAGATATCATTTTTCATCTATAAAATAAACAGTGGTTTTCAAAAAGGCAACTTTCAATGCTAATAGAGCTGAAGTTAAGTTCTAATATACTGCAGTTGGGAATATAAATTCATATAATTCTTTTGAAAGACAATATTATGTTGACTTAATGTTTGTACTTCTGGTAATCAAGTCTGATGAAAAACCCTGCACATAGAAAACATGCAAGGACAAGTATCGGTATTATTTGTCATACCAAAAAATGTACAATTAAAGGGAAATGCATAAGTGGACTGTGCTTCTTCCACATGGTTAAATATTCTGCAGTGGTTAGTATTTGCTATCTTATATTAGAATTATTTCTTCTCATATATCTCCATTCTGATGTACTACAGTGTACTTTATCTCCAGCACTTTAATATAATGAACACTCTTATTCATCATTTATCACCAGCTAGCTTATTACCTAGTATATGACAGGCACACAGTACATTTTGTTTGATTTCAGTGGAGTTTGCAAAACAGATCATGAGAGGACTTAATGTTAGAAAGTTAACATAGTGATGCAAAGTCATACATAAAATATGATTTTAATGATTGGGAAATATAGGAGAGGCTATAAAAATGGGGTTTAGTCTACTGAAAGTGCCAAAAATGTGTTCTGTTACACAAATTTCCTGTCCAGCTCTACAGAGGAAGATGAGGTAGGCTCCAAGTGATGATTCAGAAATAGGTGGAGAGGGAGAGTGCCTTGTGGAGTACTAGAATGGAGCATGTTTTAACAAGCTGTTTAACTTAGGAAAGTTTACATAACTTTCCTGTCTTAAGTGTCTTCTTTGCAGAATGAAGATGGAACTAATTGATTTCACAAGAAAAATTGCTAAATTGGACAGGATGCTGGGGAAAAACCACCCATAAACTAGGACTGTCACAGTCACCTTACTTATTATCCCAGAATCTCCAAAACTTCCTTGTGTCAGTTCCCCGTGTCCTTCATTTTCCAACTTCCTATTCTTGGGTCAGTTATTTTACATTTTCAACCTTTGGGAGATTTATTTCCATATTTTTAAATATGTGCAAACTGTTCTCTTGATTCTTAAGTTTTATAACATTATCAATTGACTTTCTTATTATAGTACATAAGGATTTTTTTCTCTCTTTATCCTTTTGCTACTCCCCAATGTAAAAATCACAATTTTGGTTAAATCTTAAAAAAAAGAACTAATGGATATCAAAGGTACCTTTAAGAGTATGTGATAGGGAAGAGGAGGGGGGAAACCTTTTTTATTTGAGACAATTCTGATATCTTAATATGGTCAAATTAAGTACTAAAATCATGTAGCAAATTCATTTCTCTTACCTTGCTAGCTCTCATTTGATTATGGGGTACATGGAAAGTAAATCTTTCTGTGAGTGAGTGAGTATGTGAAATTACTGAGATTTGGGTTTTACTTGTTCGAGCAGCCTATGCTCACTAATATAGTATCAAACAATATTTTTAGTAAAGCTTACAAGTCTTTGGATATTGTTTCCAGCAGATAATGATATCTTTCTTTGAAACTACTTAGAAATAAATTCAGCCTTTTATTGATAGTGATGGCCCCTGGCCTGCCTCCATCATTGAGTCGGATTCTAGAATTTCAGTTGGTATTTTTAAAGAGATTCTAACTCAGTGTATTTTCCAATCCACCAAACAGAACCAAAATAATTTTCTTTCTTTTTTTTCACTAAACAGAATCTCTTGCTCTTTCATCCACTGGTTTCTAGGATACTGCTCTTTAAGTGAAAGTTGCTTAGTTGTGTCTGACGCTTTGCGACCGCATGGACTATACAGTCCATGAATTCTCCAGGCCAGAATACTGGAGTGGGCAGCCTTTCCCTTCTCCAGGGGATCTTCCCAACCCAGGGATCAAACCCAGGTCTCCCGCATCGCAGCCAGATTCTTTACCAGCTGAGACACAGGGAGGCTCTTTAAAGCCTTGTGCAGATGCTGTACAGTCCAAGCCAGATACAGGTTGGGCCCAAACCACAGTGGAATGTACCAGTCTGTGTCTGAGGGGAACCCATCAGCACTTCCACTCAGAAAACAGGACCGCACACCATCTCTGGTCCATAGCATTTATGGAATCCTATTAATGGGATAGTTTCCTGGATCAGGCTGTGATTCTGCTTCCTGGTAGGAGTGTCCTTGTTTATTTTTCTCAATGGCCTCTAACTCTACTCCCTGAAAGATTCTTCCCTTTCAATCTTCTCGTTCATATTTGAAGTGGGCTTTGGGCTTTAGACCCCACCTTTGGAGATGCACAGCTTTTAGAGCTCATTTTCTGTTGGAACAAACTTGGCTTCCCATAGACAGTGGATTCTTAGTTCAAGTAGTCAAAAGCCTTTTAGTCCACGTTTATGATTTCTTGGATAATATAGCTCTATTAAAATAGTAGTCAATTCCATGTATAATAATGACAGTTTTAGAGCAAGATTTGTTTCTTTGGCCTGTATCTCTCTACCTACCAAAGGGCAGCTACCTTGCATCTGTGGTTGGGCATAAGTTAATACCCATAGTCTCATCTTTGCCACAGGCTGTCCTAGTGGCTTCTTGTTGCACACAACCCTTCTAGGTCTTATTTCTTGTTTTTTGGGTCTAAAAGTAGTTGGCCTTTCCAAGCCTTTCATGCCCCCAAGTTTCTGGGCTTTCCTTGAGACTCTCTCTATACCCTGTTCCTTGCAAACTGGCT